AGATAGTGCGGGATTTATTCAAAAACGTATATGGATTTATTAAAAAATCCCAATAAATCCAAAAAAAAATCCCGGTAACTCCTGATTTAATCAAGTGTTGCTATCTATACGACCGATGGGTGATCTTGAAATTTTGAAGAGTAAAAGAGGAAATCCGATTGTGTATCATGGTGAGTTCGTGTACATGCAACACCGATTGACTGATGAAAAACGTATTTCTTGATGCAAAAGCTGCGACCATCACCCTCAAGATCTGGCCCGTGTGACTGCTAAGGTGAAACTAAATTCTTGAACTGTGATTCATTCTTCATTTTAATTAATATATTAAACGTGGAAGATCATAGTACATGACATTGTATATTAAGTAGAATCGTCAGAAACGACTTGTCTGATAGGAGAAAGTGTAACGGGACAAAATGAGTTTGGGACGAAGTGTGTGGGACGATATGACACTGAGACAAAATGAATTTGGGACGAAATGAAAAGGGACAAATTGAGTGAGGAACGAAATGAATGGGACATAGTGTAAGAGGACGAAAAGTAATGGGACGAAATGAGCGTCCACCGCTAGTAGCACTGTCTGGCATGCTACTAGCATCATCTGGGAGCCTTACAACATTACCTGTCATTCTACTAGCATTACCTGGGATGCTAGTAGCATCACCAGGAGCGCTGGTGGCATCACTTGGAATGCTAGTAGCAACACTTGGGATCCTAGTAGCATCGCCTGGGATGCTGGTGGTATCACCTGGGACGCTACTAGCGTCACCCAGGATGCTAGACGCAAAACTGGCTTGCTAAAATCTGATTGGTTGAGAATCACCCAATCAGATGCGAAGCAGCTATTTCTTCGCTATTGTACGGACAAAGCCTACTCATGTTCGAGTCACGTGAAAGAGGACCTCGGATAACTGTAAGATCGGCCCGTACATGACAACGTTTTGTCCTTACAATAGAAAAAACCGCACTAAAATCTGATTGGCTGATAATCGACCAATCAGATTCGTGGGAGCTGTTTCTAAGCTATTGTCAGGGCAAAACATAGGGTTGTTCGGGCAAGTCTTAGGATTATCCGGGGTTCTCTTTCACTTGACCCGAACATAACAATGTTTTGCCCTGACAACAGCTGGGAAACAGCAACCTCGAATCTGATTGCTCGATTACAAACCAAGCAGATTTTAGTGCTGTTTTTTCTTCGATTGTAAGCACAAAATGTTGTCATGTTCGGGCCAAACTTAGGATAATCCGGGGTTCTCTTTCACTTGACCCGAACATGACAAATGTTTTGTCCTGCAAATAACGAAGAAACAGCTTCTCGAATCTGATTGGTCGATTATGAACCAATCAGATTTTAGTGCGGTTTTTTCCACTATTATCGGGACAAAACATAAGGTTGTTCAGGCCGGTCATTGGGTTATCTGGAGTCCTCTTTCACTTGACCCGAACATGACAATGTTTTGTGCTTACAATAGGGTCAGAAAAGTGAGCTTCAAACTGCGTAAACTCGAAATTCGGAGCTCACTTCACACCAGTCCATATTTTACCATCATTTGGAGTCCATGTTTTATCTCGAGGCCTATCCTATGAGGGTATTCATGGGTCCTCGAGGGCTATCCTATAGGGTACCCTTAGGTTCTCAAGGGCTATCCTATGAGGGTACCCACAAGCCCTCAAGAACTATCCTGTGGGCTATCCATAACTTATCAAGGCCTATTCTATGAGGGTACTCACAGGCCCTCAATGGCATTCTATGGTGGTACCAGTAGGTCCTCAAGGGCTCTGCTATGGAGTACCCGTATTTCTTCAAGGCCTGTCCTGTCGAGGTAACCATGGGTCCTCAAGGACAATAATATGGGGTACCCATAGGTCGTGAAGGGCTATCGTTTGGAGCTAATCATAGACCTTCAAGACCTATGTTATAGAGGTATCCATAAGCTCTCGATGCCTATGCTATACGGGTACCCATAGGTGCTCAAGGCCTAACAGATGGAGTATTAACAGATCCTCAAGGGATATAATATGGGGGG